AAAATTCATGGGCAGATTTTTGAGGAGAAACAGAATATTTGCATAATCTTAAAGTATATCTCCCAAGATATGCATTAATTATTTTAAAAATTCCTTATTAATAATGGAGGAAACTGACAGAAATACCTTCTTAACCAAGTGATCAAGACATCATATGGTCTCTGGTATATGATACACTGAGAACAGATCACTTCTGTGTACTGTTGACAAAAATATAAAACCTCCTTCTAATCATGAGAAAATATAAAACAGACCCAGACTGAAAGACATTTTACAGAGTAACTGACTAGTATTCCTTAAAAGAAGATAAGGAAAGACTGAAAAATTCTCACAGATTGGAGGGAGTAAAAACATGACAACCAAATGCAAAGTAGGATCTCTGAAAAGGCTTCTTTCCTTCCTTCCTTCCTTCCTTCCTTCCTTCCTTCCTTCCTTCCTTCCTTCCTTCCTTCCTTCCTTCCTTCCTTCCTTCCTTCCGCCTTTATTTTTTGAGGGGGTTGGGGAGGGGGAGAGAGAGAGAGAGAAAGAATCTCAATCAGACTCCACACTGAGCACAGAGCCAAACGGGATTGACCTCCTGACCATGAGATCATGACCTGAGCCTAAATCAAGAGTCAGACACTCAACGACTGAGCCACCGAGGCACCCCTCTCTGAAAAAGCTTTGGAAAAGCTGGTGAAATCGAAATTGGAATTAGTTAATAGTAAAGTGATTAAAATACCATTTCCCAAAACTAAACTTAATGTAAATGATGGTGAACCAAAAATTAAAAATGAACTTGCTAAATGTTATACAGTTAGGTGTGGTGGATCTTGAATTTTAGTCCACTCTATATAACCACTGGACTCTTGTCTGGTTTTGGTATCAGGGTTTAACTGATCTCATAATGAGCTGGGAAAGAGTCCTCATTTTTCTTTTCTCCAGAAGACTTTACATAAGAAGAGAAAATAAGGAATTTTCTGCTTCACGAATGTTCCTTAAAAATATTTGAGCTGCTAAGGGCACCTGGGTGACTCAGTCAGTTAATCGCCTGGCTTTGCCTCAGGTCATGATCCCAGGGTCCTGGGATCTAGTGCTGCATCGGGCTCCATGCTCAGCGGGGAATCTGCTTCTCCCTCTGCTCCCCCCCCTCATGTGCACACTCTCTCTCTCTCTCTCTCAAAAATAAGTAAGTAAAATCTTTAAAAAATATTTGAGCTGCTAGTATTTAAGAGGCTAGATCATTTTAAATCATATATCATATATTAAATGATATTTAATCATGTATTAAATCATATTTTAAATCATACTTTATTTCCTCTTTAGTACCTTTGGTATATTTTTAATTATCTTTAGGAATTTACCAGTCTAGCTAACTAGTTAATTTTATTGACATATAAGTAATACTCTCTAATCTTTTAAATCACTACATTTTCTGTAGTTGTATTTCTTTAAAATAATTCCTAATACTTTTTGCCTTTTCTCCCCTTTTCATGAACCATTTTGTCATATATATTTATTTTGTGAGTCCTTTAAAAAAACTCACTTTTGGCATTTTTATTCTCTTGTTCCTATATTTGTTTTCAACTTGATTACTTTCTGCTTTTATCTTAATTATTTCCTTCTTTTTCTTTGATGGTTATTATGTCTTTCTTTTCTAGGTTCTTTTTTTTTTTTTAAATATTTTATTTATTTATTTGAGAGAGAGATGAGAGACAGAGAGCATGAGAGGGGGGAGGGCCAGAGGGAGAAGCAGACTCCCCGCCGAGCAGGGAGCCCGATGCGGGACTCGATCCCGGGACTCCAGGATCATGACCTGAGCCGAAGGCAGTCGCTTAACCAACTGAGTCACCCAGGTGCCCTTCTAGGTTCTTTTAATGCTTAACTTATTATTTTCAGCTTGTCTTTTCTTTGCATAAAAACACATAAAGTTGTAAATTACCTTCTCTAAGTAGAATTGTTTTCTCTGCCCCATGTTTTAATTTCTTTTCATGGATTTTTCGATTATTTTTAGGTCTCTATTTTTGTATATTATTTGAAACATCAGTTACATAGGAATTACTTCTAATTTTCTTTTAACTTTTCAAGAATATGAGTATTTTGGAGTGATCTTTTTCATATTAACTTCTGCCTTAATTGTAGCATGGTCAGAGAATTTAGTTGATGTTGATTTGTTAAAATTTATTCAAACATGTCTAATAATTTAATTTTTGATCAAATGGTTCATGGGATTCAATGGTTCATGCCCGCTTCAAAAAAATCTGTATTCTCTAGATTGTGCAGATTTCATATCAAATCATTCATATTATTTTTAAATATTACATATTCTTGGTCTAGTTAAATAATCATTAATTAAAAAAAAAGCATTATTATGGCTATATTTCACATATACTCTAGATCTGAGAATAGATAATCGTGGTATTGAAGATTTTAACAGAAAACAACTTTTATAGATGTTATAAAGTAAATAATGAAATTTTAAAAATCTATCCTAATATCAATAATAAGTGCTTTCAGTAGAGCAGTGATATTATTTTTGTATTTTAGAAAAGCTATTTCTGATACAGTGTAATATATAAATTTATCAAGGTGCTGCTTCTATAAAATTTAATTTTTTAGAGAATCTTCTTGCTGTAAATAGGTTGAGTTGGTGATGTTCTGTGATAGAAGTATTGTGAAACAGATATTTTCAAAAGGAAGAGTCAGAGGTTGCCAGGCAAAGAGTTGTGTGGAAAATCAAACTAAGAAAAGCATACTGGAAAAACCTAAACCTAAAAAAAAAAAACAAAAAACAGTGTCATAGAGAGTATTAATTAAGAGAAAGGATGACAAGACAGAGAAGCCAATTTATGGAGAAGCAGCTTATGTATGTTTTATTTTAAGTATAATGGGACCAATCAAAGAAATTTGAAGCTCTGAATAATTATCCATAAGAGCATTGTTTTCAAAAAGATACTATGGCTGCAGTGTATAATGAGATTATCTGAGATTTGACTGGATTTAGTTAAGTATAGTTGCTGGTAGACAAATTAGAAAGTTTCTCATTTATCCAATACACAAATCAGTATATGGTGGCTACTACATTCAAAGAAACAGAATGAGAAAACAATGGTGGAAAAATACAAAGTCCCTGTTTCACATTACATCTTCATGGTACATATGAATAAATAAGTAAATAATATCATGACTAGCTATTGCAAGTAATATGAAGAATGACTGGGAGTGGTATTTTCAATAAGGTTATTTTCAGTAAGGCTATTGATGAAAGCTTCTGAGAAGGTCACAACTGAGCAGTCATCTGAAGAAAGTGAGTGAAAGCCATCTGAATATTCAGGGACAGGGATTTCTAGAAGAAACAGCAAAGGTAGAGAGCCAACAGGACAGTAGCCAAGGAATGAGTCGAGAGTTGCTCTCAATAGTGTGTAACCAAAAATAGATGGAGAGGAAAGTGTAAAAACAAACAAACAAAAAGAACAGGCTCGTGATTCCCTGGGGTGTAGTGGAAGCCGAGTCTTACTGATGTCTCCTAGGAAACGACTTCCCAAACTGAGCAGATAGAGGTACCTGTGTTAGGTTGTTAGGGCTGCCATAATTGGGTGGCTTAAACAACAGAAGTTTGTTTTCTCACAGATTTGGAAGCTAAAAGTCTAAGATTGAGGTTCAAGATCAGCAGGGTTGGTTTCTTCTGAGGCCTCTGCTTGGCTTCTAGATGGCTGTCTTCTCCCTGGGTCTTCACATGGTCTCCACTCTCTGCCTGTGTCCCGATTTCCTTTTCTTGTAAGGACACCAGCCATATTGGATTAGAGCCCACCCTAATGATCCCGTTTTACCTTAAGTCCCTCAATTACTTCTTAAAGACCCTGTCTCCTAAAGCAGTCACATTCTGTGGTACTGAATGGGGGTTCGGGCATCAATATATGAAATTTGAGGAGCATAGCCCCCAAACACTTACTGTAACACTGTAACAGTGCCATTTTCTCAGATTCAGTAAATTGCATTGTGATTACAAGAGGATAGTGGGGGGAGAATCTTATGTGAGGGGAAATGTCATGTGAGAAACAGAGAGAGAGATTTAGGAAATTGAACTTCGACAAGAAAACTTTGGAAAGTCCAGTTTGGTGCAAATCTTTCATAGAAGTGACTAAAGGAAAATACACTGGGAAAGATATACTCAGGCAAGAATATGATTAGCTAAGAGGTCTGGGCTTTATTGAGTATTTTAAGGAGAATTACTTAGGGTTTATGAGCATGAAGAGGCTATAATCAGAAGTGTGCTTCCGGTCGATTAATCTGTCAGTAATACGTAGTTTATGATCAGGAGCTAGAACATAAATCTCATTAGCAGTAGAGATTGTTCCCACTGAAAGCTCATCTAGGTGCACTAGGAGCTTAGCTAAAGTCTTGTTTTGCTGTGGAATAGAGAGGAGTTTGTCAGAATTGAGTGTTTTCACAGTGGCACTCTGAAGGGCCTCTTTGTATTTCTCCTACAGACTATACTTTGTTTCTCCTGTCACAAAGATAAATAGGATTCCTCCCCACTACAGCTGATTTCATGGAATTTCGTAATGTTCTGTCCTTTAGCTCAAATAACCTAAGAGTAGTTAATAACTAAATACAGCAAAGGGAAAATAATTAAATATAAATATTCACTATACATTCTGGGATTTGTTGTGATTGCATAAGCAAACACAGGTACCTCTCTGCACTCAAAGCTGATCTCTAGTTATTTGTGCAAATGCAAGAAAAGACAATGTGCTCATTTTCAAACCAGAATTCTTAACACTCTTAGAGATTGGTACTCAGTATTTGTAATATGCACAGACCCAAGCCTCCCAAATGCCACATTTTCCATTCCTAGACCTTAATTTCGGGTTATCCATACCATGTGTATTCAACTCATTAATCAGTCAACATTGATGTAGAGCTTAAGATTTATAATGTTTTCTCATACACAATTTACCTTTGAATATTCTATTGAGAAACCTCTCTCTCTCTCTCCCCCTCTTCTATATATTTTGCAGACACCATCCACCTTCGAGTTCTCGAGTCTTCCCCAATTGGCACAGCCATTGGGAGCGTAAAAGCAACGGATGCTGACACAGGGAAAAATGCAGAAGTAGAATACCGAATTATTGATGGTGATGGGACTGATATGTTTGACATCATAACTGAGAAGGACACACAGGAAGGCATCATAACTGTGAAAAAGGTGCACAACATCAGTTTAAATAAGCACCTGCCCATTTAGCAAATAGAGATTTCATTATGTGCTATCCCCTCACGCATTATCCATTAGGAGATGTCACTATCAGTCCAAATGTGATTTATATTGTGCACAAGTATGAGAAACATAAAGCCAAAGTCCTCCTTGAACATTTTGACCAAGTGCTTTTGTTGATTGAAATGTGAAACCTGAGTTCTTACAAAATTTAAAAGGCAAATTAATAGATGTGTGACTCCATTTCTGAGCCTTGTGAATAAAAGCCCCCCGCCCCATAAAAACATTGTTTTCTTAAGAAAAAGCAGTTAATAGCTAATAATGGCAATATATCATCCCAGTTGGAGGCATAAAAAGTAGCATGCCATCTATCCAGATGTATGAAGCAATAATTAGAGCTGCTAATAAAAAGAGACGGCGTATTTTGAAAGATAATTTAATTGTTCACATTTTCCCTTCCGCTATGTAAATTAAACTTTTCTGCTAATATGTGCTCAGTGATACAGTTTAAAGGTAACTAGTTTTTTTATTGTAGAGTCAGTACCACCATTATAAGAAAAAATTAAGGTCCAGTAAAAGTTAAGGTCCCATAAAAGTTAGATCATATTGAAATGTGCTAAAAACTCTATTGCATGAAGTAACCACTGAAACACTGAGTAATCACAAAACTTTCCAGAGTGTCAGTTGCAAAGGCCAAGGTAGGCAACCAAATGTTTTTAAATGGACAGTGACCAGCAAAGGAGGAAGCAGCTTCTTTGTTGTTTTTCATGCCTGGAAAGTAATAGTAATGCAAGTAAAATCTACTGCTTATCAGATAAAAAAAAAAAAAAAAAAAAAAAAAAAAAGGAAGGTTGAAGGAATTTGAATCAACAATGTCTTTTTCTGTTAACAAAACATACCTTTTAGAGGAGTGAGGGAGAGGAGCTTGATTTTATACTTGTGACAGTTACAACGCATCGATGTTTAAGTTCCATTTTTTTGTTTCATAATGTAACCTAATTACCAAGTTGCTATCAAAGTTTTTGTCTGTTCTCTTTACTCAAGGTTTTCCTTATCTTCAATGTTTCCTACAATGGTTGAAAGTTTTATATTAGTCTTCAAAATTTTATAGTTTATGTAGTACCTTGCCATTAAACTGAATGGAAATAATCACAACATAAATGTAAAAAGATAACTGAATTTTTTGCTTACAAACATTAAGCAGTCGCCAACACCTCAGCCCACACACATGCACACGTAAACACACAGTCTCCCAGCTCATTTTTTATAACGAGTCACCACATTATGAGAAAGGTTTTAATATCCTTTCCAATTTGTCCAAGATTCAAAATCTAATTTTCCTATGTTCTGAAGTATTACTCATTGAATACATAAAAAGTAAAAATTGAACCCTCTCCGATATGTAAAGGTTTTATTACTATTTTTTATTACTTTTAATCATTTACACTGAACAACCTGACAGAACTCAACCAGGCCTTAAAAATCACACTGTGACTTGAAAGGAACATATAATCCAATTTCCCTCACTCTAATTTGGTGATTTGTTTATTTACACAGCCACTTGACTATGAGAGTCGAAGACTTTACACTCTGAAGGTTGAAGCAGAAAATACCCATGTGGATCCACGTTTTTATTACCTGGGACCATTTAAAGATACAACAATTGTAAAAATCTCTGTAGAAGATGTGGATGAACCTCCTATTTTTAGCAGATCCTCTTACCTGTTTGAAGTTCATGAAGATATTGAAGTGGGGACGATCATTGGTACTGTGATGGCAAGGGACCCAGATTCTACTTCTAGCCCCATCAGGTAAGTATGCCTATGTTTCAGATGAAAGAATGGGAATTAAAATAAATATAGAGATCATGAAATTCTATTTATAGCATTTAATACATTAAAATATATGACTCTTTCCATAAGTTGTACATAAATTTGAGGAGCATAGGTGTTTAAAGTAAATTGTCTCTGAATGTTTTGGGGCAAGGCATGCACAGCTTCAACATTTGGTCCAGTTTAAATCATGCCTTTTAGCCTAAAATCTAGCTTGTATCATCTATCTTTTAGGTATTTGTTGTTCTGACCTGGGTACAGATAAAGGACAATGTGTCAGCTGTGCATTTACAATGTAACCGAATCACTTTATTTGTGCTTTCAGTTATTAAATGATATGTTAAGTTGAGAGATGTAACAGTTAAAAGAATATAATTACAGCAATATTACAATGCAGTTATATTACATTTTAGAAACTCTCCTATACTCCTACCATCAAAGAAGGAAGGTTTTTGTTTGTTGTTTTTGTTTTGGCTGTATCAAAAAATATTTAAAAAAATATTAGAACATTCCAGAAAGATCACAGTAATTTCCATTTTTTTTTCTTTTTTTGCTTTGCTTTTTTATGGCAGCCTAAAAATATATGGGATGTAATAAACATGCAAATGAGAAAGACTCAAAAGTTTTTATTGACATTTGGTCTATCATTTTAAAGAAATACAGATATCTGTATATAATATTGACCATCAAAATGACTGTTCATTTTAAACTGTTAGTACACCATGTGTTTTGGATTTCATTCGTTTCCCTATTCTCTACAGGTTAATTTTGTCTTCCCCTTGTTCCACATGGACCAGTCAAGTAAGGGTTTAAATGATGGTTAACAATTTCCAAGCACACTTTTTTTCTGATTCCCAAGAATACAACAGCAGAATGTAGAGAATCTCTAATTTTGTATGCCATGTGACTCTAACTCAAGTTAAAGTTAAAAGTGCTATGGGTTCTGCCACATCTTCAAGTGAAGTCATATTTCATATAATTAAAATTAGCATTTGATTTATTTAGTTTTATCTAAATACTTTCTTTTTTGCTTTTATGTTTCTTTTAGTTCCAGTGTAGTTAACATACAGTGTTATATGTTTCCAATGTACAATATAGTGACCCAACCGTTCCATCTATTACTCAGTGCTCATCAAGATAAGTGTACTTTCAATCTCAATCACCTGTTTGACCCATTCCCCACCCACCTCCCCTCTGGTAACCATCTGTTTGTTCTCTATAGTTTAGAGTCTGTTTTTGGTTTGTCTCTCTCTCTTCTTTTTTTGTCCATTTGTTTTGTGTCTTAAATTCCACATATGAGTGAAATCGTATGGTATTTATCTTTCTCTGATTGACTTACTTCGCTTAGCATTATACTCTCTGGGTCCATCCATGTTGCTTCAACTTGCCTAAATATTTTCTTATATTCACATAGAGCATCACAGGTTACATATATGGTAACCATGTACAGCTCCCAGCTGCCAGCATGACTTCCCCATAATTGCCTCTTCCCCAGTCCATTTGTCTTCATTGAAATTGCTGTATTGCTCAGATATTTTTTTTCCTTTGAAGCTTTTATATAACCAATATACATGTTTAATTTTACCCATTCAATACTTTCCAAGCATTTTCCTGGCATAGCTCCTAAGTAACTGTAACAGGCTATGTGCTGTATTCCTGGTTTTAAAGTGGTCTTTTTTAAATTAAATATAATATTTTTTAAAAAAAGAGTTCAACTTAAATCCAGTGGTGTTATAAAGTGGCTATATAAAGATATTCTCCTCACAAAGAAATAGATTTTGCATCCTCTTACAGACTGATGGTTATTATATGTCAAAATATGTCTGGATTTTGAAACAAAAATGAAATATTTAATCAGAATGCGAGTCTAAGGAAAGAATCCATTTATCTATACTATATGGTAACAGAATTAATGCTTATTAATGACAAAGTCTATGTCATAAAGGTTGTAATATAATTGAATTTATGCTAACTTGATGCATAAAATGCAATTGAATATTTTTGGATAATAATAATGATAGAACTACAGGTTTCATATATATATATAACTATGTTATATATATATATAACTATGTTATATATATATATATAACTATGTTATATATATATATAATCAGGGATAAAATAGCTTTACTAATGCAATGTATTTATGGGATAGATAATATAATATAATATAATATAATATAATATAATATAATATAATATAATATAATATAATATAATACTGGGCATATTATAAATTGTTTAAGTCATATTATGGATGTTAATGCAATAATCAAAGGGATTTACTTTGTTCTGGAAATGATCTTAAAAAGGAAAACAAAAATTAGCACACATAATTTGCCAATAGAGAATTAGAAAATATAATTATATCATGTTTGAAAAAGAACCAGGATCTCTCTGTATCTTTAAGATAATTTTCAGGGCGCCTGGGTGGCTCAGTTGGTTGGGCGACTGCCTTCGGCTCAGGTCATGATCCTGGAGTCCCTGGATCGAGTCCCACATCGGGCTCCCTGCTCAGCGAGGAGCCTGCTTCTCCCTCTGACCCTCCCCCCTCTCATGTACTCTCTCTCTCTCTCATTCTCGCTCTCTCAAATAAATAAATAAATCTTTAAAAAAAAAAGATAATTTTGCATAATCCTCTAAATTTTGACATTAGTTTTTAAACTAAATTATAAGAAATAAGACAAAACACACATAAAATGATTTGGCAAGGACAATAATGCTTTATATTGATTTACATATTGCAACTTCACGTCATATTTCTATAGAAATAAGAAAACTTATTTGCCAAAATACCAAAGAATTCAGTTATTCTTTTTTTCATTTAATAAATATTTGTGCATCACCATATCAGATATTAACATATTTCTCAAGAAGTTCTCAGTCTGTTAGGGAAGAAGATTCAGTATGAGAAATAATATTCATTGAGTGCTTACTATACTTCAAGAATGATGCTTGGTTTTTTCATGTTTGATTTTCTGTTTGAAATGTAACTCACATTTTGATGTTGAATTCCTAATACAATGTGGTAAATGATACATTATGATACTACATTTAGAGATGAGTGGTAAAAGATACTTTGGGACAGAAGGAGACAAATAAGCTTCTACTTTAGGTAATCATGAAACACTCAAAAGAGGAGGTAAATTTATGTTGAGTCTTTCAGTAGTAAAATAATTTTGTCAACTTGAGAGAGAATTTGTGAATTATTCCAGATATAGAGATTCAGTGTTTTGCAAACTTATGTGTGAATGATAAGACATGCAGTTTGAATGCAAAACTGAATTCATATCGTATTAATAGAGAGGGCTAGAGCTTATTAAGGAGATTTGTTAAATACTGGTCTGTTCCAGTTAGAACTGATTTAAAATAAAAACCCCAAATAAGCAGTCCTCCAAAGTAAAATCACATTAGCTGTATTGATGGCTTAAGTTGTTCTTCTAATGCAATTTATTCAAAACCCAGAATAAGGACTGTAAGTTTCAATTGATTTTTGGAAATATCATACAGGTTTGGAACATTAAAAGAGAAGAGTTTTATGGCACTTTAAAAATTATTTTTTATTATGACTCACAAACTACAATTTAAAAATAGCATTTCATAAAGTTTTCCTAAAAATAAGTGACAGTTGTGGCTTAGGAAAAGATATGCCGTTACTGAATGCTACTCCTGGATTTGTCATCTTTGTTTTGCTTTGTTTATTTTTTTAATATGGAGCATTAAATATAACTTGAGGATTATGCTTGCTAACTCAAGGACTATACAGCATTTGTAAGCCACTAGGATTGTGAAGTGGCAGAAACTGATGAGGGATATAACTATCTTAAACCTTGCCTGACAATCTCCCAAATAATGGGATTTGTCCCAACTATAACAATCTGATTGACAAACCTGGTGTTAGGCTTTTGAATGACACTCAACACAATGTCTTTAATCAATTCGCAGCATAGTTGGTTTCTTACACATATGCTAAGACTTTATTTTTTGTTATTTTTTATTTGTTTTCTGAGGCTTTACTTGGTAAAAATGTGTGAAAACTCCTACCCCAAATTTTCTGTTTTTAAAGCATCTTTAGTTAAAATGTATACATTTTTTTTAATGATACATATGGTTAAAAACTGAAGCTACATGGGTATTATACCATGAAGTTACTAAACATCATCATAGATTGATAACCTACTCGTCTGTTGAAACTAATGTTGGCTCCAATTTCATCACTATGAAAAAGACTTTGCTTCTGGGAATGCTTTTTTGCATTTGATCCTTACAGTAATTCCTTAACAGAATTTTCAACTCCTAGGTAAGGTCAGTTGGTAATGCAACCATCTGTAATGCCAACTACTTTGTGGAACAAAAAAATACTTCCCAGTCAGTTGATATGGCAATAGATAGTGATTTAATAAAACAAATATTCAGAAGGCCATCATTTTGAGTGCTGAACAAAGTACCAGCTCATGCCTTGGGAAGAGGAGGAAGGTAGAGATGGCGGGTGTGTGTGTGGGGGGGCAGTTCCTGATGTGTGTGTGCATGTGTGCGTGATAAATCAATGAAACAGTTTTCATTCTACATCAGTAATAAGTACTCTTACAAAATTATTACATGTTACTGTGTGTGTGTGTGTGTTTGCATTACACCATTTTCTCCTACAAACCAATAATATTTCCATGTATTTTTCTTTGCTTTCTATGTTCAGATTTTCCTTGGATCGCCATACTGACCTTGACAGGATTTTTAACATACATTCTGGAAATGGATCCCTTTATACATCAAAGCCACTTGACCGTGAACTATCTCAATGGCACAATCTTACTGTTATAGCTGCTGAAATCAGTAAGATGAATTTTATGTATATAATATTTAACATATATTAGGTTTTATTTCATATTAAAATAATTTATTCTCATTATACACATGAATTGTAATTTTAATCTGTTTTTAAAAGTCTTCAAACTAATACTACAATATATATTAACTAACTTGAATTTAAATAAAATCTTGAAGAAAAAGAATAAAGCATTGATTTCAAGCAAAAAAAAAAAAAAGGCTTTTCAACACCTATAATTCTTTTCAATGGTTTCTTTTTTTTTTTTTTTAAGATTTTATTTATTTATTTGACAGAGAAAGACACAGCGAGAGAGGGAACACAAACAGGGAGTGGGAGAGGGAGAAGCAGACTCCCTGCCGAGCAGGGAGCCCGATGCGGGACTCGATCTAGGGACTCCAGGATCATGACCTGAGCCGAAGGCAGTCGCTTAACCAACTGAGCCACCCAGGCGCCCTCTTTTCAATGGTTTCTATATATACTGAGGGATAGTTATAGGTATCCCAAATCAACATTTAATATTGACTAATAAAAATTATCTAGAATTGGGCACTAAAGATATCCTCTTTTGGGGAAAAATAAATGCATTAGATTTATTACATGGACACTATAATTTAAAATCTATGCTAAATGGTGGGTGCACACCATTTAACAACAAACATGTATGTAGGTATCATTTCTTCCTTTTTACAGATGAGGAAACCAAGGTATTGTAATAATAGTTAACATTAAGCACTCTATGCCAGATATTATCCTAAGAATTTTATATTAATTTTCTTCTAGTAATATTTTTATTGACCTTATTTAACAGAGAAGGAACTAAGGCTCCAGAGGTTTTGGTAACTTGCCTGAAGTCACAATGCCAGAATTAGTAAAACTGAGATTTAAAACTAGTCATTCTGTTTCTAGATCCAGTACTTAATTCTACATCTAATTTACAAAATTTCATATAAGTAATAACAGGCAAAGCCAGTATTCAAAATCATATCTGTCTCTAATTGCAAAGTTTCTTGCCCATTCACAGGACTTGCGACGTAATTTGTGGAGCCCATTATAAAATAAAACGTCAGACCTCTTGTTAAAAAATGATTAAGACGGGGCGCCTGGGTGGCTCAGTCGTTAAGCGTCTGCCTTCGGCTCAGGTCATGATCCCAGAGTCCTGGGATCGAGCCCCACATCAGGCTCCCTGCTCAGCGGGAAGCTTGCTTCTCCCTCTCCCACTCCCCATGCTTGTGTTCCCCCTCTCGCTGTGTCTTTCTCTCTCTGTCAAATAAATAAAGAAAATCTTTAAAAAAAAAATGATTAAGACATTTAACGTGGCAACAGTAGAGCCTTAAAATAAGCATGGGGCCCTTCTTAGAGTGAGGCCCGGTACAATTACACATGCCTATGAAGCCCCTTTGTCCACTCATGCAAACGTGTTCATGGTCTCTAATTTCTGTACTGTGATTTACTGGGTAAAGCAACTCTATTTTTAAAAGAAGCATTAATTAGGGACTGAATCATGGTGAAAAACTAAGCCTATAAATCCCAGACCTAAAATACGAAGCTGAATCCACAAACACCTATCAGGGTCAAATTATTTGAAGTGACCATTGCAGGATTTGGAAGGCAGAGCAATGGGGCCAAATCGCCAAAAGTCTCAGAAGGATGGAATGAGGCTGGATGGATCATTAACAATGAATTCAAAACTTCAGGATAAAATAGTAGACTTAGCTTTCTCCTTAAATCTGGCTCCGAAATACAGATTAACTCCACCATCCAAATGACCCAGTTTTTCCATAGTGAGTTATAAATGGCTGTGCCTTTTAAGGCCAACTGAAGATTTTTTTGAGTTTTTCTTTTAAGGAAAGCTTCTATTTCTATTATCCGTTTCCACATCACCACAGTTAGATGTGCCTCACAGGGTCCAATCTGATCATTCCAGAATCATGGTTGTTTGTGCTCTCTGCTTGATTCAAGATCCTAATTCAAGCCTAATGAGTTAGGAATTGCCTTTTCCATTTCAGATACTTTGAGAAATTTAAGTTCTAAAGCTAGCTGAAGTAATTACAATTCTGTAAAAAGCTAAGCCAATTATGTTCTTTTTAAGAACTAAACCTATTTTTTGCCCTTAAGTGAAATCAATTTATGGAGTAACTGCTGGAAATGCCTACCTGCCAAGCCACAAGCAGTCAGAGGCCCATTATGCTGGCCTGGGTATTAAATGGATAAGGGAGAGAGGGAAACAGCATATAGGAAATTGTTTTTACTAGATTTTAAGCACTGGGTTTGTGATAAGTGTGCATTACAGCAAGCCCTAAGCAGGGCAGAACGACGTTTAAATGTACTTCTTACGAATGTGTTTTCAAGCCCTGCCTCTAACAGTTTAATTCTACATTCCACAGCAGTATATCACATCATATGGCAAGTACTACCTCAGGTAATTATTTAGTGCATTATACCATGAAATAACCTCTCTTTTTCTTCTTCAAAAATATTTTTTAAATGCCATTTGGAAAATAAAAAATCTAAAATGAAGGTCATAATTGGGTCTTAGAAATCCATTGTAGAAACTAATGAGTTCCTCTCACCACATCTGAAAACTTTACTGTAATCATTGCAATACAGTCTGAGAACAGTAGAGCAAAGCTTATGACCAAAGAACTCCATTATCTATACTTAGTCCTTGAGAGTGGAAATTCTTGCCCTAAGCAGGTAGAAAAGATACATCTTTCTAAAGGCTAGGATTTCTAGAAAACCATTTAAGCTTTCCTTTTCTTGGATATGGAAAAGACTGTGAATACATCGGAATGCTTTCACATTATAAGATCCTTTATTGCTGATACATTCTTGCTATAGACGATTGTGCCTGGATGACTCTGAGAATCAGGTGGTAAATATGCCAACTACCATTCCATATGATGCTTCTTGGAATGCTTTATGTTTTTACTTGTACATGAGCTGCGACATCTACCAGTAAAAAGATTAATGTAGGCACTGTTGTTTGAATAGTTGACTCTAGGCCTGATGTTATACAAACACATTTATCCTTGTGGATTTAGCTTTTGATTTGAAGACTTTTTGAGCCATCTGTAAAGAAGCTGAGAATCTTCATTTTGTGTCAGGGAATGGACTGACAGTGCAGTATTTTAGATCTGATATTGCTCTGATATTGTTCTACCTCTCTTGACTTCCAACAAGAGTTATATTTATGTCAAGACTATTGAAAGAAAATATTTTGCTATGTCCACTAACTATATTAGATGAAAAGCTCTTGCTAGAAAATATGGAAGAATCATACCTTCCCATTCATACCCATAGCAATGCGTAGCTCTAGGTAAGTTGTGGATTCATTTGTAGGTGAACCCTTTGTAGGTGAACTCTGGCTACTTGCAAATGGTTTAGGACTAGGGGAGGTAGGAAAAGAGTGGGATAGATTTTTTTTTTCTCCTTTCTCCACTGCTCCCCAAATGTAGTCCTCTTCAGACCTGTATGAACTGTAGGGAAACTAGTTAATATATATATATATTTTTTTATTGTGTGAGAGCTTTGTGTGGAGCAACATAGCATAAGCTGTCAAGTAATGTAAGAAAATGAAAAAAGGTATCACGGTGATAATAAAGATGATCTTAATAGTTGACATGTATTGAGTGCTTACCAACAAACTAATACTTTGATAATAGCTTTTGATAGCTCTCATGCATTAACTGACCTAATTTTTCAAATAACTCCATAGATTAGAAGTTCTATTTTGATTTCTATTGGGTAAATTAAGGCATTAGAGAGATGGAGTAAATGGGCCGAAGGCACACAATGAGTGAATGGCGAATCTGGGAATCCAAGCAGCTCTGTTCTATTCCAGGGTCTGGACTCTACAACCACCTGACATAGGAAGAAGTGAACAATAGGCAGCAATGCATTAGCAAATGGGAAATCAGAACCTGAGAATGGAAGGCACATGGGTGAAAAAGACTGAGTAAGACTGGAAAGGAGTGTTAAAGAGAGGATGCCTTTCAAAGTTTCTCTTGAAAAAAAGAAGGCAGATAAATACTCTTCGCATGGATTTAGAATTCTATCTGCCTTCCTTCATACGACTCAACCTTGTAAACGTCCCTGCTGAGTAATCAGTTCTTCCATATTATTTTTAAAAGTGCTGACTCCATTATTTTAGTAACATTATAATTACCTGGAGAGAAAGGAGGAGAAATAAATTATTTTGCATAATAATATCCTCCCTATCTGTACATGGCGATATTTTTTACCCTTGTATTTGAAAATTATATAGATAAAATTAGAAAGTCAGATACATTTCACAAAGACAAATAGTATGATCCATAACCCATGTTAGTAGAGGCCATTTAATAAGATTGCTATTGCCCCTCACTTCATCTGTTATTTGTTTTATTTTGCTTTGTTTTTAGCTAATTACCTCCTTTTCCCTTTTCTATTGATCTTCAGTTTGACTTTCCTGAAGTCCACACAGAAGTTGAACTACCAAAGCCTAAGATTTTGATATCACAAAGGTTGATAAATATCAACTGAATTAAAGATGTCAAAACACTCTCAGATACCAATACTAGTGCCTAGAAAGGCCCATTTGTGAGAAAATGCAATTTTGACTAATACAAGGGTGTTACCCAAGGCTAAGCTAAATAGACATTCATATTTTAAAATTCCACTTACAAATCAAGACAATTTTTAATGCATATTTTTATGTGAAAACTTTGATGCTCTTGATTTTAGAATTTGTAGCAAAAAAATCATAATTATTATACTATATGTTACTATTGAGCTAATTTTGTTATACAAAATTGAGCCTGGATTGTTGAAATGGTACCAGTGACAATTAATGAAACATTCAAGTGCTTATATTTTCCTGTAAATTTCCACCCAACTTGTAAAACTAGTAGCTATATATTAAAATTTCCAAAAGGGGAGTTCGGAGTAGCTATTGGAACACATTTTCGCTATTAAAATAGTCAGGAGGGTAAGTTGTAATATAACAACTACCACTTAGGAGTTAATGACCATGGGCAAGTTAATAGTTTATTTAAAATTATTTCTTCATCCAAAAACTCAGTAAAGCTTAATATAATACTGCATGACAAAGATTTAATAAATATTTGTTCTTATTTTACATATTTGGACCAAGGACGCAAATACAATATGAACTCAATTACACTGGATTGTGCTCTTATTTTAAGAAGATTTTCCAAAATAATAGTAGTTCTCTGGAGGCCAATAATAACTGAATTTATAACTACTTAATTAGACTCTGTAGTAATTTTCTTTATTGTATTTGCTCATTATGTTGGCAGTTTGAACGCGATGCTTATTTTTATGTGAGCACTTAATATCCACAAGATGCTTATATAAATGAAATCTGGTGCACAAATGTGTCTTCCTAAACAAATTTTTCCTTTGCCTTTTCTAGACAATCCCAAAGAGATGACTCGCGTGGCTGTTTTTGTGAGGATTTTGGATGTTAACGACAATGCCCCACAATTTGCTGTGTTCTATGATACTTTTGTATGTGAAAACGCGAGACCAGGGCAGGTGAGCACCCATAGGACTTAAAACCTTTGGAAAATTTTAACAGCTTGTTAAATGATTTCTTTTCCCAATCTTAAGAAGAACAAGTAAACAGGGATAAAAATGCTCATGTAAGTCCCAGTCATATAATTAAAAAAAAAAAAAGGCTGATATTTTTAGGGTTCTAAATGACACTGTAGCATGTCTCACATTTCTTTTGTGAAGTTCTAATGAAAATATAAGATTTTATTGTTGCCACAAAAATTAAGGCGTAAGAAGAAATAACTTTCACTTTTTAAATTTTCACAAACAAAACCGGGGCGGGGGGAAAACAAACCTCTGCTGTTTCTCTAGGTAAATATTGATACCTGCTAGAAGAGATGGGAGATGGAAGTTAGGAGAAACAGGGCAACAGATTCAATGGATCAGTGAAAGAGTGCATCAATATTCCAATGTATGCAAATGATTTCAAAGCAGGACCACAGGATTCACTCCTTAAATTTATACTTGTATTTCATCATTATAGCAACACTTAGAGTGCTTAATGACTTAGGTTTTGTCCTTTAAAACATTCTTCCTACATCAGCTTTGTTTATAACTCTTTAAGTCTTTTCCTCAGTGGACTCATTTTGTTGTTTGAAAAGCTCCAGTGTATGTGGCTGAAAGAAATGCTCGTAATTGGTTTGAGTGCTATCTGCACAGAAAGAAGCTGCATGTTATAAATAATAATTGGGAATCAAATGTGTTTTATTAAAGAAAGAGTAGCCATCACAAAACCGCATTGTGTTTTGACATCATTTGATGCTCTTTATAAACATCAATGTCGTTGTTACATTTTTATGCAAATTACATTATGGGATAACACAAATTCTTCCTTCTGAAGATTCTAACAGGAATTCAATAGCCTGTCTATTGTTTGAAATGGAGAAATTGCTGCAATTGGATTCATTTTTTTTTATTTGAAAATGTTATGGAAATGTTTAATTTGGAATATTTAAATGACAAAGCAACTTCCGACCTACTTCGTCACGAAACCTTGTTTGCCCTGAAAATACCATTCCAAATAGTCCTCTGCTTGGCAGGCTCAGCATGATATAAGTTGAAGCCTTTTCTCTAAGAGATAAATTACCCGCTTTACAACTGCCGCATGCATAGCTTCCTCTATGGTTATTCTATTTGATTTTCAAGAGGTATCTTTTCAGAGCATTTGAGTCATTTTAAATACTGATTTCCAAATGTATTCACAATATACCAAATAAGGGATTGTGTTTTTTTTTTTTTTTCCTTATGCCTCTTTAAAAAAAAGAAACTAAACTAAATCTGGTTCAGTAACTTTATATTTTTTGGATTTTAAAAACCAGTTGGCATATTGCAGGAAAATAATAAAATCAAAGACAATTTTAATTTAAAAAGTAGCCTTTTGACAAACTTGATAAGAACAACATGATTAGTAATTTTTGTCTAATTGGCTGAATGTGCAATAGCCTCCCATAGTAGCTATTTTTAATAAGATCAGTTTGTTAAATGTCATTTTGGTCTCTTGGCTGATAAATGGTCGCTTAAACTAAACTGTTACGTACTCAGTGATGGAATTCTAGATTACAGCAGCCCAGCAGGCAAAACCAAGGTGGTTATTTGGAAAAGTCCTTCACTGAACCTTCCTTGAGATTTATTTGTTAACTCTTGTCTCCCCTCCTTCTAGGAAAGTAGGAGCTTGTTAGGACTTCTGGGTGTAATTTAGTTATTTATAGAGTATTTCTTTTTTTTTTTTTTTTTAATTTATAGAGTATTTCAAGCCACGCAATTCTCCTCTGAATTAAGTACTGTTTTAAAACAGCACTGAACATAATAAAATAAATAAATAAATAAATAAATAAATAAATAAATAAATAAATAAAGTAGCACTTCGAACAAGGACATAGGAAATGATTCCATCTATTTGTATGGACAAAATGAGAGGACAGATAAAGTTAATTGCCATCCCCTCTTCCTTTTCTGCCTCTTCCCTTCTCTAAAGTTAGAAGACTTTCCTCCTTGGAAAAGATGCAACTTAAAATTGATGTAAATTAATAGTCACCTCTTGTGCCTGAACTAGGCTACCTTACTCCCCATCTTTTCCACCTCAGAAAGAGTCCCTTGGGAAAGGAGAGGAGAGAAGACTGGCTGTTTCATTTTTCTTTCATTTTCCATCATGCATGCCTCACTCCTTCAGTCAATAAAGCATATTTTAATAATTTTAAATCTTTATGGGAAGGAAATAGTATTTCAGTCTCACAGATTTCCCAGAGAATCTCCCCAGGGAGGACTGCTGCTTGTATTTACCTGAAGATAGTATCTAAGCTCTAGGCCTTTGTCAGACCCCAAATATCCCTTTACATATTTCCATGGAACAATGTGGAGTTACTTACCTAACTGCTACTCTTCCCACTGCAAAACCTAAAGCATTAAAACTTAGTGACCAGTTTTCTCACTTAAATATCTCAAAATCCATTTGTCATCCCACATGCCATCATGGTAACATCACTGAAAAAGCCCTCAAGTTGATTTGAGATTATTTTAGAACAGCCTAGTAAAAATATGAACCAATTATATAACAGCTAAGAAGATAAAATATAAATGACTTATCTGGGTCTATTCTTCATATGCTCAAAATGAATACTGGACATCACCAGTGTGTTTTTTTTTTTTCCTCCATAATTGTGACAACTTATTTTATTGGAAATGAGTCAAAATGAACTTGTGTCCAGTAGGAATAAAATAGCGAGTGCTTATATAGAGAGACCAGGGAGGTGGTTTTATCTCCTTCATGTTGCCAACTTCTGATTTCTATTTTAACACATACTTATATGTATATGGTATATGTACATATGTATATATGTACATACCCATATGTATGTGGTATATATACCAAAACAAATAAACAAACATATACCAAAACAAAATACACTTGATTCTTGAACAATGCAGGGTTTATTTCTTTTATAACACTTAAAGAAAATATATCAGTGAATCACTAATTTTGAAACCAACAATGCTATAATCTTTTATTCAAATAACATTTTAATTAAGAATTTTTGTGTAAACCATTATAACTTCTTATAGATATATGCAAAGATGTGGCCATTTTGTTCTCTGAAATGTATTATTTTGGTTCATAAAAATAAACTGAAATTGTAATTTGTAATCACAGTTGAAAATGCATATTTATTTTGAGACATTATATTTTTTAAAAGACCATTAGCTCTACTTTTAAATTTCTTTCATTTTTATCTATATATATACTGACATATTAATCTTAATGATATATATATATATAAACATAGAAGTTTTATTAAGTCTTCTGCCCTTCTTGATGTTTCATTTGTCATTTTCCCTTCAATTTATTCTTATAAATCACTATTTAAAAATAAAAATCTTTTAGACTGCTCGACAAACAAGTCAGTCAAGAATGATTTTGTAACTGAATTGATACCTCTTAAAGGGCATTAGCAAACACTTTTTATACATTTTTCTCTTTAATTCCTTCACATATGCACCATTTTTGGTTTTGTATTGGATGGGTAAGCCATTAGCAATAAATCCTTGCTTTCTATTTAATCTTAAATTACCTCTAAAATTTCATTAAATAGTTATGTTACATTTTAAAATATACTTTAAGATTATTCAAAGTTTAAATGATTTTTTGGGCTGCTTATTCCTAGAGGATAAACATTTATCTTTGTTTGATCCAATTATATTTCTTGTATTATTTTGAAATAAGTGGTTAAAGTTGTAATTAAATAGGGAGTAGCTAAAATTTGTCACATTTTTATTTTTATAAGGTAATTTAAAAGAAAACTAATTGAATACAGAAGAGTTAAAATAACTCCTTAATTTTTTATAATTATGCAATATGTTAAACTTGAAATCTCTTTTCATATCAACAAAACATCAGTAACAAATATTTTCATCAAATATCCACACCCTGTTAAATAAATCAAAGCAGTAAAGCATATTCCTTTTAGTTAAGCATAAATTTGGCCATTTATATAGGTATACAAATTGAACAACTTCTGAAGCTCTCTTGCAATATTAAGATATGCAAAAATTTATATAAAATGTTGTTATACATATAAGCTAAGGACAAATTAGATATATATGCAAAAAAGTACATAGCCGTATGTTTCATATATATTTGTATAATATTGATCATGTATGTTCAAAGAAGTGATCTGATTATAGTAAAAGGTGTTACATTTTATGCTTTGTTCCCAGATAGCTTCTTATATTGTCTCTTACCCTAAAATAAATCAGAGATGATCTTTATAAAATAACCATTTCCCATGGTATACATATAGTGAATTAAAAAAATTAATTTTATTGACAATGCAAGTAAAGTGAACCATTACTATTAAAGTAGATAATAATCCTCAAGTCTTTCCTTTAAAAAGTTTTGCATAGTATTATCTATAAAATCTGTCCATTCTTCGAATAGTTTTCACTTTTGATAAAGAGGAAAGCCATAATCACAATAGTTTTCTAAATTTTTCCTCCATTAGATAAACTTTTCTAGATCAATGTTTAAATATATATGAAATAACCTATTCATGTCAAATGCTGTATCTAAATTAATAAGACTGCAAAGAATATGATATTGTCATTTATTATTTTGAAGCAATGGATAATATGTAGGAGAAATTGAGAAGGAGGGAGAGAAAGGAACAGAGACAGAGAGAAGCAGAGAGGGAAGGAGGGAAAGAAAGAGAGACTTTGTTAAAGTCAAAGTAATAATAAAAAAGATGGAATAAAATAAAGATACATGCACAAGAAAGAAAATCAACTGCCTTTAAATTTAGACAAAATTGAATGTTAAAAAATTACATATTGTAAAGCAGATTATACCCTCAGAAGTTTGATAAATATGCATTTTTCTCTTTTTTGCAGCTAATACAGACTATAAGCGCAGTAGACAAAGATGACCCCTTAGGTGGACAGAAATTTTTCTTCAGTTTAGCTGCTGTCAATCCAAACTTCACAGTACAGGATAATGAAGGTAAATTTTAGAATGCTGTCATTATGATTTCAGGTGACATTAACAAGAGCTGTTCTCCAAAGGAACAATTACTATATGTATTAATTTATTGATCTGTGTTACAAAATGTTGTTTTCATCAGATATTTAATGAGATATTAATTTCTTGCTTCTTTATATATTAATAAGATATACTGTTCATTCTCTTAAATTGCAAAATAATAAAGATGTGAGAGGAAGTTTCAATATGAGTACTAATGAAAAGACTGAATCTTGAAAACATTCGAAAGGCTGGAAATAATCAGACACACTGGGTAGAGAAATGAATGATTCAGTGAGACCCTTGTGCAAATTTCAATGAGATTTAGCAGCAACAGATTCACCAAAGCCAAAAAGGCATGGAATATGGGTGAGAAGAAGTATCCATATTAGTCTGTGAGGGGTTTAAGTGCAAAAGCAGTTGCCAGGGCAAGATACACTGTTCTTCTGTGCAATATGTAAATTTTATAATGTCTCTGTGATAAAAGATACTGAAATTATATTTCTTGCATTCCCAAAGAGGGCAAAAACGTATTTTAGAGGAAAAAATATGAAAATGCTTACTATTTTGAAAAAGCTGCACAGCTTTATTCTTTGAAAAATATATATGGTAATTATTCTAAAGAAAAGTGTATAGTTAGAGCTGTTTCCCCTTAATAAATTTATGTTTGATTATATCAGTGGATCTTTTGTAAAAAAGGCATACTTGTCTTAGAGTGAGTGTAGATATAGTTATTCTTAAAATACATTTAATAACTACATTGACATATTTATAATACCTTCATAACAATGTATATCCACTGGCAGAGCTAGATTGCTATATCACCTCTAGGTGGCTTTCAGAATATCAGAAAGAAGTTTAAGATAACAGATAGTTTTACATTAACCCAATTATTGTTTGAGGAAACTGCACAAATCAGTTGAAAAGAGGGCATCCACTGGTAACATCTGTATACTAAATCGTAGTTTCTGAAATGTCTCTTTTCCATCCCTCTGAATATCTAAAAAACTGCGATGTGAAAAATTCTCATAGAGTTGGTAGATAAGATACAAGATGTCTAGTTTCATCTGATTATCAGCAAAACAACACCCATCATTTTATTTGCTGAATCTGGCATCCTAAATATAGAACTTAGATTAGACATCCTTCGTACTGATTTGACAATATTATACCGCTTTCTAAGTGCATTTTGTTTTATGTTTTTGTTAAACTGGACCCCAACAAACCACGTCTCAATTTTAAAAAGCAGTAGAGACTTGAAACAGTGTTATCACAGCATTTCACAGTTACTAGGTAAGCACCTCAAGGCTAATCTTAATTAATTTTTGATAAGTAGTGCCATCTTCCTATATTCAGAAGAGTTCCTGATCTTATATGAGTTACTCAAAGCAAGAGTTGAAGCCCTATGAATATAAATTTGAACATGTCACTATATAGAATACCACTAAAGTCAGATGGAATAAACTCAGTATTCCAAAACTCATTATTCCAGAGTGCATAAACTCACTATTTTGTTATTGAGTGCATTTTGAAAAAATCCAATGACATAGACATCACCTTATTGCGCTTCTTGAGGAAATGCCCTTGTGTTTCTCTACATGTTCATCTTAGAAAACGTTAATTTTATGGTATCATTTTTTAAAATTAATTTCCTGCTTCTGTGATACCACACTTGGAGCTTTTGATTCTTAAGATTCCCATGCTTTTCACTAACTTATAGGTCAAAAGTCTAACTGTATGATGACTTTCTGAATATTTAATAAAATGATTTGAATAGAATGGTTAGTTTAGGGTATAGCTTCGTTTTATTCTTCAATATATTAAAAGTATTGTAGACAAGATTTAAAGCCTTTTGAAAAGTTAAAAAAGAATAAGGCAAGAAGTTTCTAAATATACCCATATACCAACATCTGTTGTTTCTTGTGTTGTTGATTTTAGTCATTCTGACAGGTGTGAGGTGATATCTCATTATAGTTTTGATTTGTATTTTCCTGATGATCAGTGATATTGAGCACCTTTTCATGTATCTGTTGGCCATCTGTATGTTTCGTTTGGAACAATGTCTATTCATATCTTCTGCCAACTTTTTAATTGGATTATTTGTTTTTTGTTTTTGTTTTGGAGGGTTATTTGTTTCTTGGATGTTGAGTTTTATAAATTCTTTATATATTTTAGATACTAACCCTTTATTAGATACGTCATTTGCAAATATCTTTTCCCATTCCTTAGACAGCCTTTTAGTTTTGTTGACTGTTTCTTTTCGCTGTGTAGAAGCTTTTAATTTTAATGAAGTCCCAATAGTTTTTCTTTGCTTTTGTTTCCTTGGCCTCAGGAGATGTATCTAAAAGGAAGTTGCTATGGCCAGTGTCAAAGAGGTTACTGCCTATGTTCTCCTCTAGGATTTTTATCGTTTCAGGTCTAACTAACATTTAGGTCATTTAGGTCTTTAGTCCATTTTGAATTTATTTTTATGCTTGACATAAAAAAAAATCCAATTTCATTCTTTTGCATTTTGCTGTCCAGTTTTTCCAACACCATTTGTTGAAGAGACTGTCTTTTTCCCATTGGATGTTCTTTACTGCTTTGTTGAACATTAGTTGACCATATAGTTGTGGGTTCATTTCTGGGTTTTCTATTCTGTTCTATTGATCTATATGTCTGTTTTTGTGCCATACTGTTTAGATCACTATAGCTTTTGCAATATAAGTTGAAGTCCAGAATTATGATGCATCCAGATTTGCTTTGCTTTTTCAAGGTTGCTTTAGCTATTTGGGGTCTTTTGTGGTTCCATACAAATTTAGGATTGTTTGTTCTAGTTGTGGAAAAATGCTGGTGGTATTTTGATAGGGATTGTATTAAATGTGCAGATTGTTTTGGGTACTGTAGACATTTTAACAATATTTGCTCTTCCAATCCAGGAGCATGGAGTGTCTTTCCATTTCTTTGTGTCATCTTCAATTTCTTTTAACAGTGTTTTATACTTCTCAGAGTAGAGGTCTTTCATCTCTTTGGTTAGGTTTATTCCTAGGTATCTTATGATTTTTGAGAATTGATTCCTCAATTTCTTTTTCATTATTGGTATATAGAAATGCAACAGATTTCTGTACATTGATTTTGTATCCTGCAACTTTACTAAATTCCATTATCAGTTCTAGTGGTTTTTTGCTGGAGTCTCTTGGGTTATCCATATAGAGTATCATGTCATCTGCAAATAGTGAAAATTTTACTTCTTCCTTACTGATTTGGAGGCCTTTTATTTCTTTTAGTTGTCTGATTGCTGAGGCTCAGACTTCCAGTACTATGTTAAATAACAATGGCAAGAGTGGACATCCCTGTCTTACTCTTGACCATAGATGAAAAGTGCTGTTTTTCCCCATTAAGGATGATATTAGTTGTGGGTTTTTCATATATGGCCTTTATGATGTTGAGGTATGTTCCCTCTAAACCTACCTTGTTGAGGGTTTTTATCATGAATGAGTGTTGACTGAGGATGTGGAGAAAGGGGAACCCTATTGCACTATTAGTGGGAATGCAGGTTGGTGTAGCCACTCTGGAAAACAGTATGGAGGTTCCTGAAAAAGTTAAAAATAGAAGTATCCTACGATATAGCAATTGCACTACTAGGTATTTACCCAAAGAATACAAAAATACTAATTCAAAGGGATGCACCCTAATGTTTATAGCAGCGTTATCTACAATAGCCAAATTGTGGAAACAGCGCTAGTATCCATCAACTGATGAATGGGTAAAGAAGAGGTGGTATATATATAAAATGGAATATTAGCCACAAAAAAGAATGAAATCTTGGCCATTTGCAATGACATGGGTGGAGCTCCAGAGTATTATGCTAAATAAGCCAGGTAGAGAAAGACAAATACTATATGATTTCATTCATATGTGGAATTCAAGAAACAAAGCAAAGGAGTAAAGGGAAAAAGAAAGAGAGGCAAACCAAGAAATAACCAAGAAATAAACTTTTAACCACAGAGAACAAACTGATGGTTATCAGAGGGGAGGTGGGTGAACAGGTAAAATAGGTGATGGGGATTAAGGAGTGAACTTATGAGGGGCACCAGATGTTGTATGGAAGTGATGAATTACTAAATTCTACACCTGAAATTAATATTACACTGTATGTTAACTAACATATAAATAAAAACTTAAGAAAAAGAAAATAGGAAAAATATATACCCATATGCATATAAATATTTATTTTAGTGTAAGTTAGAGAATGGAAGAATTATATCCTAATACTTTTTGGAAGATAAGTCAAATTTGAAAAATTATTGGACTAAATTTATTTTTTAAATTTGCTTGTGTACATCATCTATTTTGCTAATCTTCTTTCCTATCTTTTATAGTTAACTGATGTAGTAGAAATAACTTTTTACTAATAATTTAGGAGATTACTGCTTTATGTTCAACCACTATACCTGCCAGAAATGTTCACCTTTTTTTTTTTCCTTGTCCTATTTGATTTAGCAATTGGCTGACTCACTCCCTTCCCTACATTAGCATTTTGAACAGGCTTATGGGATTGGCTAAAGAAGACTAAGTGCATTGGACAAACAGAATAGGAAATTGTCATCCAAGTACATATTGATTTTTAAAAAAATATTATGGGCGCCTGGATGGCTCAGTCGGTTAAGCGACTGAGCGCCAGAGTCCTGGGATCAAGCCCTGCATCGGGCTCCCTGCTCAGTGGGAAGCCTACTTCTTCCTCTCCTGCTCCCCCTGCTTGCTAGCTCTCTCACTCTCTTTTTCTGTCAAATAAATAAATTAAAAGAAATAATCTAAATATTGATTATAAGGGTTAGGTGAAATCTTTTTTATTAAAAGCACAACCTCCATTTAAGGATACTGGGTGTTATTAGATTAAAAAAAAATATCTGTAGCAATATATTAGTTAGTAGGATGCTTGGGTTTATTAAATCCTTACATCTGCCTGTGCATTTATTAAGTAATCCATATCAATAGTCATCCACCAATACTTTGAGTTATAGATTGTATTCATTTCAATGGGGAGAAATCAAAGTTCAGAAACATTAAATAACTTGCTGGGGCACCAGGGTAGCTCAGTTGGTTGAGCATCCTACGCTTGATTTAAGCTCAGGTCATGATCTGAGAGTTGTGGGATCAAGCCCTGCATTGGGCTCTGTGCTCAGTGTGGAGTCTGCTTGGGATTCTCTCTCTTTCCTCTCCCTCTGCCCCTCCCCCTGCTCACACTCTCTCTTTCAATCTGAAGTAAATAAATAAATAAATAAATAAATAAATAAATAAATAAATAAAATCTTTGAAAGAAAGAAAAAAAGGAAGGAAAAAAGAAAGAAAAAAGGAAGAAGGAAAGAAAGAAAGAAAGAAAGAAAGAAAGAAAGAAAGAAAGAAAGAAAGAAAGAAAGAAAGAAAGAAAGAAAGAACTTGTTCACCACTGTTCATATATTGTGACTCTTGAATGGTTTTGAGTGAATGATTGATTTTAAAAGTGCAACTACACGTAAAATTTACTCATTCATATTTTTCTTCATGAGTATTGGATTAATGTGTGTTTTCTCTGTGTATGTGTGTGCATATGTATAAACATATATGCATATACAAATAAAAACAATTTACTATGATTTTTTCTTGGTATGCTTATTTATATTTTCTGAAAACTCTGAAAAACAATATGCCATTATCCTCACAGTCCCGGTAAAATGTCCACTTATAAAAATTCACCATCTTAAAGCATTATCTGTGAAAAAGTTAGAAACCTGTCAAATAAGCAATCATAGTCAGAGACTCCTCAAATTAATTTATCTTACCTGTATTTTCAAATATTGCATTGTAGGCATGTTACAGGAAAATTGATCTTCATTTAATATTTTACATAAACATCTCTTGTATTGTCAAGCCTTGGTGAGCAGGATGAGAGAAACTTACGGTCCCAAGCCATCTGTAATATGTTAAAATTTATTTTAGATAATACTGCCCGGATTTTAACCAGAAAAAATGGATTCAATAGACACGAAATAAGTACCTATCTCTTGCCTGTGGTGATATCAGACAATGACTACCCGATTCAGAGCAGCACGGGTACTTTGAGCATCCGAGTGTGCACCTGTGACAGCCAAGGTAACATGCAGTCCTGCAGTGCCGAAGCCTTGCTCCTCCCCGCGGGCCTCAGCACGGGAGCGCTCATCGCCATCCTCCTCTGCATCATTATCCTACTGGGTAAGAAACCTCAGAGAGAACGTGATTGGAAGGACGCCTGTGTGGCTCAGTCAGTTAAGCCTTCTCCTTTGGCTCAGGTCATGATCCTGGCGTCTTGGGATTGAGTTCCACATCGGGCTCCTTGCTCAGTAGGGAACCTGCTTCTCCCTCTGCTTGTGCTCTCTCTCTCTCTGACAAATAAATAAAATCTTAAAAAAAAAATATGAAATAAAATGTGATTATTTCCTGGACTGTTTACATTAGTGTATTTGTAAGAAATTCTCTTATTAAAATAACTCCTCCCCCATTAACTCCAATATCTAAGATAGACCTAAGTTAATGATGGGATGTTGTTTATATTGAAATATTTTATGTGATCAGATAGTTATTACTTTTCTCTCTTAAATTATAAGACCGAAAGTTAGAGATATTCAAAACATTTTGCAAGGTTACACAATTCCTGAGTGGCTCAACCAAGGCAAGTTGCTTTGCTGTCCGTTTAACTAGTTTTTCAGGAAATCTAAAGTTTATTTCCAGTTTTTTTTTTTTTACTCAGATGAGGGCTGGTTGGAGGCTTTCCACTGAAATCATGTTAAAATAGCTCTTAACCTGGTTCACTTTTCCCTGCAACAATAATACTTGATTTTATAACCTAGAGCAAATTGCTTTTTAACTGCTTTTGAATGAAAAATCAGATTCAGTTTAATCTCCAGTTGCATCATCTTAAAACTATTGTGCATATTCCTATGACCCTACTAAAAAAGCATTGTATCTGACATTTTAAGAAGCAGTAAAATGAACTTGGATTTTGGAGCCAATCTTAGTTTCATTAGCCTCATTATTAGAACATTTTTTACCGGGTAAGATCACTTGGCTGACAATAAACAATCTAAGGTTTAAAATCTTTACATCATAAGTTTATGTGTGTGCATGAATATATGAATTTAAGCAAAGTAAAATGTCATATTTTTCTCAAAGACTTGAAGAATAAACACTTTTTTTCTCTCTTAGTGGTGGCCTATTTATTTTTTAACAACTTTGAAGGTCAAGAATACTTACCAATGGATTAAAACCTTATTTTTTCTAGGCATTAAAAAAGTCCCTTCAGAGAGGGTTGAAGGCAGGTAGACTAACTGTCCTAGGTTAATAAAAGAGAAAACAAAAGTTAAGAGCCTTTCCCACACTAATGTAATTCTCTTAGTTCAGTCTGCTATAACCATACCATAGACCCAATGGTTTCAACCCCAGAAATGTATTTCTCATAGTTTTGGAGGCTGGAAATCAAGGCACTGGCAGATTCCAAATTTGGTGAAGGCAAATTTCCTAGTTTCAAGATGGCGGTCTATGCTGAATCACCACATGGCAGACAGCAATCCTCTCTCTTGTTTCTTTTCATAAAAGCACTAATTCAGGGCGCCTGGGTGGCTCAGTTGGTTAAGCGACTGCCTTCGGCTCAGGTCATGATCCTGGAGTCCCGGGATCGAGTCCCGCATCGGGCTCCCTGCTCTGCGGGGAGCCTTCTTCTCCCTCTGACCCTACCCCCTCTCATGTATTCTCTCTCTCTCATTCTCGCTCTCTCAAATAAATAAATCTTTAAAAAAAAAAAAAAAGCACTAATTCAATTCATGAGGGCTCTACCCTTTGACTTAACTACCCCCTAAAGACCCCACTTCCAAATGCCATCACTTTGGGGATTTAGGCTTTAACATGAATTTTGAGAGGACACATTCGGTTCATAATGATAATAAATCCCATATCCTTTAAATATTTCTTCTAAAGAAGCTAAATAAATATAGATATTTCATCATACATATACCCGGTAAAATATTTTCCCTCTCTTTTCTTATTTAATTGAATTCAGACCTGTTTCCCTAAATCATCATTTTCAAGGCTCATGTCCCAAGTATTTGGGGATAATGAATGAGGGTGGAAAACTAGTAACAGCCAGAGAGAATTTAACATTCTCCTATCTTTTATGCTATTATCATCATGATTAGTAAAATCATTATATTATTATTATTGATACCTTCTCAGGTATCAGTAGTAGGGAGATGTCCTTTCTGAATGATATGCATTTCTATTTGTAAATCTCCAGTTGTTTGAGATATATCTAGCTAAGGTTCCTACATGCTTTCTGTAGGTAATTCAATGTAGAAATCGAAATTCACTCTTTGCTATCATGTGATCTGATAACTTTCTTTTTGGTCTCATGTGTGATATATATTTCCATGTAATACCTCAAAGATTGCTAAACCAATAGTGCCTAATCAGGAGGTCATTTGCCCTTCACTTCTTTTAACAATGTAAGAAAAAAAATCCTATGTAAATCCATCAGCAAAGCTATTTAACCAAAACCAACACTGTATCTTGTGAAGAATGCTGCCTTTTCAATATTGTATAAGGATGTGCAAAATATGGGCATATTTTTGTCGTCCTTAATTGTTTTATTTGAAGCTGAATTCAATTTGTGTTATTTTTTATGTAACACCTTATGTCACTATTCAATGCAAAGTATAAATAATGTCTGTGCAATCAGGAACTAACTTTAAACAGTTCTTAGAAAAACAGACAAAATATCTCACTGTATTTGAGAAATATCCCAGATGGCTTTAAAAATACATTAGAAACACTGCTTGCATACCCCACCCATCCTGGCTAAATCCTCAACTGCCTCTCTCCTTCCCCCCCGCGCCCCCCCCTCAACTGATGGAAGTTCAAAATTAATCTAAAAATCCTAGCCTGTCCCCGAAAACCTAAATAACTCAAATTCCTCCCCAGCACTCCCACTCGTTATTTATATAGTGTTTTAGACGGACAGCTAATGAATCTTCTTTTCTTTTTCTTTTTTTCCCCAAGTTATAGTAGTACTGTTTGCAGCTCTGAAAAGGCAGCGAAAGAAAGAGCCTCTGATCTTGTCTAAAGAAGACATCAGAGACAACATCGTGAGCTACAACGACGAAGGTGGTGGCGAGGAGGACACCCAGGCCTTTGACATCGGCACCCTGAGGAACCCCGCAGCCATAGAGGAGAAGCAGCTCCGGCGAGATATTATGCCGGAAACTTTATTTATACCTCGGAGGACTCCCACGGCTCCAGATAACACGGACGTCCGGGATTTCATCAATGAAAGGCTCAAAGAGCACGATCTCGACCCCACCGCGCCTCCCTACGACTCCCTGGCAACTTACGCCTACGAAGGAAACGATTCCTTTGCAGAATCTCTGAGCTCCTTAGAATCAGGTACCACTGATGGAGACCAAAACTACGATTACCTCCGAGAATGGGGCCCTCGGTTCAGTAAGTTGGCGGAAATGTACGGTGGCGGGGAAAGTGACAAAGACTCTTAACCTAGGAGACACACACACACATATATATATATATACCTATATATATATATTCTATTCAAACAAGAGGAAATAACTCGACGGACGCCGTCTCCACCACTTCACAATATGTGATATTCAGGAGAATTTTCCTGCCACTCAGCACAATTTTCCCCCATTTACTTTTTAATTTGTTCATTAATTACATTAATTCTTTTTCCTGTAGGATGTCTCATGCAATATATACGAAATTTTATTTAATCACTTCCAAGAGCCAAAGCTATGGAAATTCAGTGTTGTCCATCTTAGAAATAAAACATAAGTTCAGAAACATGAACAGGATAGTTCTCCCTTAAGCAACCTCACAAACAAGCCGCTTCTGTTAGATACACGTCCTGCCCTTGCAAATGAAGCTTTTAAAAAGGTGAAGAAAAAATTTAAGGTATATCCTGTTCTGTACATTAAATTAAAAAGAAAAAAAAACGTACATGTGGTGTTAGTAGGTGTGATTTGCAACCTGGTATACAAACGTTTGTGCAATTTCATTTCATCAAATTCTATCTGCTAATGTTTTATATTTATATTTTTGTATTTATTTTTAAAAAAAAATAAACAAGTTTTTACAACTACCTTGTCTCCAGATTCATTTTTTTCCCTAGGGAGAAAAGTTTCTCCATGGACTCACGATCTTGGTACTACATGACATTGGATGCAGGTAAGGGCACAAAGTCATTAATGGTTACTATCGAGACCTCTTGCCAAATTAACAGGATTTACGTAAGAATTCTTCTGCCAGTGAGTTTTGTTATGCTCTGACTTGTGAAAAAGTTGTCATATTAAAAGTAATAGTCATGTATAGACCACTTAAAAATTTATCACAAGCCAATTTAAAACATGGCCATCTTTATGCTAACTATCTCAAAATATCAGCAATATAGTAATTTTGTTTTGTTCTATTCATTTAAATAATAACTGAAAGAATATAACATTTCTTATTTTTGTATGACATTTGTGCTACTGAGGGTAATAGGTAATAATAGTTTAGGCAGATTTCAGACTGAAATAATCCTTTAATGGAAAATACACTTACCTCCCGTGGTGACTTTGAAAATGCATAGTAATGACAACAATAATGCTGAATATTCCATTAAGATACAGCATTGTGATTATGTCAAGTTTTCAGAAATGCATTACATATTTATTTGTAATTAAGTCTGTTTTTCTGTCAATGAATGATTCAATAGAAAGGAAAAAAAAAAAAAATACTGGCAGTTAATTATCTGGAGTTCCCGAGATTTACAGAGGCCACCTGCCACCAACCGATTTCTTGTTTCTCAAGCTCCAAATATGATTTATTTATAAATGGAGCACTCTGTTGGGCCTACACTAGGAAGTCACATTCCCTGCTGAGTATATCATAAACAATACCAAAGATTTATGTGCTTTCCAGTTAGTGAAAATGCTATGCTTTTGGAGTGAGAGTACAATACTGACGTATCCTTAATGCAGAATTATTTATTTCAGTCTTCTTGAATGATATCCCCCCCCCCCCAACTTCCAGGGTGAAAAGGCACACACTTCTCTGACTATAGACATTTTAGTTTGCATGGTGATATAATTATAAAAGAAAAACAACCCACGTGCTCTAGTTAAAATCAGTCACATTACAAGGCTGACGTATCAAATCATAGTAAAACTTGTTTGACTTCTCATATTCCAAGAACCCATTCATACAACCAAAAGCCTGACTGTTAAAAGGACAGAGCTTAAGGGGAATAACAACTGAAGTGAGGGGACAGAAAACCCTCGATGCCCTAGGATTATTCATTCAAATAAAATCAACAAAAAATGGAAAAGTTAGAAGAAGGTATATCTTATGAACATTTCACATTAATTATGATTCAAAATATAATATCCATTTGATTGGAAATTAGTTTAAAAATTTCCGGTGTTAGATATTTTTATTAATATTGCATATCAGTAATTGGAATTCTTATTTGAATATTTTTAATTATCCTCATTCAGATAATTTCAAACTGATATTAACTTGCCCTGTCACTTATTATCACCCACTTTTAATAAATTTAAAAATTGTAGCAGTCATCTCTAGTATCGTCAAATCAAGTTTCCAAAAATTATCCTGAAGGATATTGATTAGCAGGTTTCTTTGGCAATAGAGGACCTATGTTGTACAGAAACCACTTTTTCAGAGTTCTGAAACAGTCCTTAATGACAGATATCCTATTATTTTTTGATAATGAAGGTGATATGTTAAATTTCTCAGAGAGCCTGAAATTAAAAAGTGTCCCTACAATGACTCTCATTGCTCAAACTCTCTCAGTAGTCTCCCTTGTATGATGCTTTCCCAAAGAACGTCCAATACAGAGATTACTCTATGTCCATTTTTTTTTTTTATTGGAAATGGGGAAAATGCTTCTCAGTATCGTGTAATTGATTATATCAGACAACTGTGGGTCTTTCATTTATTCATCCATTTATTCATTCATCAAATATTTTGAGCACTTTTTATAAAAATCAAAGGGTGTTCTAGACCCTAGAGATGTAATAATAAATTGTAGATAAGTTTTATATATGTTAATAACTCCTCTATTAGTGAAAATGAAAAAAATGATAAGACAGTTATTAAAACACTCAGAATTTTTAACAAAATACCTAACTTTTACTGTTATTAATTTTTTTAAACACAGAGAAAAATTATTCTATCATCCTTTTTCATGTTTTAAATATTCAGATAAGTGAATAAAATGATTTATAACCTTTGGTCATTAGAAATGGTGATTAAGTCAATTCTCATTGGTTTTATTTTCAAAAAAATATCAAAGAAAGTTTGTGGAAAGATAAATTCATGCTCTTAGGCTGAAGTTTTTCTCAATATGTCAAGCAGATACTGTCACACAAGTGCAAAAGTTCCAGAGATTTATCAGTAGACTTGAACATATAAATGATGAGTAATTAGATGTTTAAAATAGTCTAAAATAAAAATTTTAAAAGCCCCTAAGATTTAGGATTGAGAATTAGGAATATCTGAGTTCAGTGATCAATACATCTACCGAAGTATCTATATATAATGCCTTCATTATGCCTTCACCAGCTACACCCCCTCTCTACTGGCCATCTGCTGCCTGAAACCCGCTGACCATAGGCTGCAGTTCCCTTGTCCCAGGACCTTGCGCTTGGGCAGCACCCCTAGGCGGCGCTGCAGGAATACCTCGGCAAGCTCCCTGGTAGCCACAAAGCAATCTCCCTGACTCAGATCTGCCGGGAGTGAAGCTTGTTACCCAGTTTGAAATAAAGTGGACCGTTGGTCTCCTTGTATCATCTCTCCAGATGCTGGGACTCTCCCATTGCTTTGAAAGAGTGCAGTATTGGCTCACGGAGAGGGGTTCAGCCCTTCCACTTGGTCCACCAAGTTTTCCTGCAGGTTGTAAATAGTGCAAGACAATAGCATCTATTTGCAAGGGCTGTCTTTCCCCTCTTACTCCGTTATGCCCAAGTTCAAGACTTTGCAATCATTCTGGACCCCCACTGTTTCTTGTAAATCCCACATTCAAGAAGTTGAATTCGTTTCATTTTTAAAACATGCACAGGATCCCATCACTTCTCATCCTTTCCATTACTCTGCCCAACACCCCTTTTCTCAATTACTAGGAGCAATTAACTTCCTACCTGGTCTCTCTGTTGTCACCTTCCCACTTACACTCTACTGTCAGCATTGAGGTCTCTGAAATATTTTCAAAATAAATTTCCCATTTGGTTGTTCCCTGGTTCTAAGCTCTACTCTTCCCTCATTTTATTCAGAGTCAAAGGCAAAATCCTTATAATATCCTTAAAGCTTCTGCAGAGTCCTTTGGTCTCTTCTCCCATTTATTCACTGTGCCACTGACTCTGCTGTTTCTCCTTGCCTTCACGAGTTTACACTGACCATTTCTCTTCACCAGCTTGTGTCCCTACCTTGTTCAAATTCTTTATCAAATAAGAAAAATATCTTTATTAAATGTTATTTTTAAATTGAGGTCTTACCCTATCCAAACTACTTGAAAGTTACAGACTGTCCTATTGCTCTTATACTGCATATGTTTTCTCCCTAACACTACTACCTTTTTAGCATGTTCTATGATTACTTGTTTACTATGATTACTTTCTGTCTCTCTCAAATTGAATGTAAAATTCATAAGAGCATGGATTTTGTGTTTTGTTCATTGTGATGCACAATAAACAGAATTAGGTCTGTTTAGGTGCTCAATAAACATTTGTTGGAAGGATTAATAAATATTGTACTATTGGATCTATGACATCTTATCCTTAATTTTACATGTATGTCTATAGATATACATATTCTTTGCATCTGAAAATTCTGCTTCCTTCTTTAGATAGTGAACTACTTAAAGTTAAAGGAGGAATCTCAGTGACTTTTTTGGTTATTTACTAGAAAACTTTTTGCTTCCAGACTGGTTCCGTACTTGGCCATCATTTTAAAGATAAATGCTAATTGTCCAATGGTTATTTTGGCTAATTGCTTTAGGAAAGCAGAGATAAATCTTAAAGGACATAGAAATCTGAGAAAGTCAACATTGTTTCAAATGAAGTTACATTGCAAATGTGTTTGGAACATTTATGAAGTCCCAAAAATTATGATAGTGGGAATTGACATGACATAACCGAAGTGCTAGAAACATAGATGACTACTTTTTCAGGTTTTGTTTTGGTGTCACTGGGGTCTGTATCACAATTTGGGGGACTTTAATAGTGCTGTGAGAAGGCCAAATAAAGGGACTGTTGATCAGGGAAGGTTTTGAGGAAGATTATGATGAAAAAGAATGTTGAAGTAGAACAGAAGACTATATTTTCTTGATTATTTTTAGAAAATTTCACTTGTAGCAATCGCGAAAAACATACCAAGTTACTGACAGACAATGAGGACAGCCTTCAAACTTAAACTGAGTAGGGACTCTAGGGACAACCATGAATCAGGAACCCACAACAAAACCAAGGAAATGAGCCGA